ACAACTCATTAAAATAAAAGGTCACATTTAGCTCTGCCATAATTTAGTGTGAAATAACAGCAAATGATGTTTCACTGTATGTCATTACCTCTGGCAAGCACCACTCTCCATTTGAATGAGGGCTGCAAGTTTGGCATCAGGGGAGACATGTTTGTGACCGCATTCATTTTTCAACGTTTCAGTTTGCATTCAGGTGAGCTAAAAGAGAATTTATAGTAATGTGATCCAAGCAAAAAATGCTCCATATTTTTTATAATTTAAATATTTCCGCCTTATTATTATTTTTATATCAAAAACTACATTATCATACAGTATCAAAAGTACAGAAAAACAACAATGCATATGTTCAAAAAGAAAAAATATTTTTGAAACTCAAAGAGTTCCTCTCCCAGAATCCCAGGAAGACTGGAAACCGTACGCTCAAACACAACCCACTGTGGTACTCATTCTCTCTCATGCGAAGCAGAAACACACTGACAGTGAGGGCAGGAACAGCTGGAGGCTCTAAAATGCAGCGAGTGACCTCTCCATAGAGCTGTTCGATTCCGAAATTTTTCCTGGTTCCAAGAATCGATTCCCCACTGTTGTTTTCGATTCTTGTATAACAATTAAAGAACATGTATAAACAAATAAACTTTAAATAACAGGTGTCCCACAAACTCATTAAAATAAAGGTCACATTTAGCTCTGCCATAATTTAGTGTGAAATAACAGCAAATGATGTTTCACTGTATGTCATTACCTCTGGCAAGCACCACTCTCCATTTGAATGAGGGCTGCAAGTTTGGCATCAGGGGAGACATGTTTGTGACCGCATTCATTTTTCAACGTTTCAGTTTGCATTCAGGTGAGCTAAAAGAGAATTTATAGTAATGTGATCCAAGCAAAAAATGCTCCATATTTTTTATAATTTAAATATTTCCGCCTTATTATTATTTTTATATCAAAAACTACATTATCATACAGTATCAAAAGTACAGAAAAACAACAATGCATATGTTCAAAAAGAAAAAATATTTTTGAAACTCAAAGAGTTCCTCTCCCAGAATCCCAGGAAGACTGGAAACCGTACGCTCAAACACAACCCACTGTGGTACTCATTCTCTCTCATGCGAAGCAGAAACACACACTGACAGTGAGGGCAGGAACAGCTGGAGGCTCTAAAATGCAGCGAGTGACCTCTCCATAGAGCTGTTCGATTCCGAAATTTTTCCTGGTTCCAAGAATCGATTCCCCACTGTTGTTTTCGATTCTTGTTTTTTTTTATATGGATTAAAACAGCATTCACTTATCTTAGATGTGGATTTCAGATGTTCTGAAACACGCTGCAACAGTTTGATTTGCGAGCAGCGATGCTTAATTTGCTCCGAAGCAAGCTAAAAAGCTGCTGAATAATACTGAATACAGCTTATATAGGAATGCCGCGATAGGTGTCGTATTCCTATAGGTAGATGTGATCAGCTGAGAATCAGCTGATGCAAGCTTGACTCACGTGACCTGCCAGAACTAACGCTAAAGCTTAATTTTTGTCTGCTTTGCCCGTGAAATTAGTCATAGCCCCAGCTCAGCAGGGACATGCGTTTATCGCATGAATTGACCATGACATGAAGTGTCTAAAATAAATGTGCACAGTTCAGCTGAATGATGAAGTTTACTTTGACTGTATGCTTTGCACAAAATTAACAAACTACACTGAAACAAAATAACCAGAACATTAACAATAACTGATAGAGCTCGTGGTTTATCTGTCAATCAGATGAGCTCTCACAGCCACTGATCTATGCTCGGGACGTTTTCTTTTATAATTATCATTGGCTGATAGAACGGTTTAAAAACAAATAGTATTTTCGATGGAAATAAGATCCTGACTCTTAATCACGTCATGATCTATTCTGACGTGCAGTGCTAAAAAATGTGGACAAGCCAGGTCCACCATAAAATAACCTCCGAATCGTTTTCTTGAACTGGTGCTAGTGACTTCTAATCACTTTTAGCGAGCATGAGGGAGGCGAATGGTAATAAAAATATAAAAATGAAAATAATCTTTTATCTAACGACTCTCGTAATTACGGCTTTTAGCGAGCAAGAGGGAGGTGAATGGTGCTTCTCAGATGGAAGGGTGCATCCTAAAATTCAGATGATCTCAGTACCTTCTCATCCTTTACTTTGAATTTAAATGTGTGCAGCCTTCGTAGGATGCAGCTTTCTGTTTGAGAGGCACCCATAGATAAGCTTTGTTGAACTGAAAAGGTTTCTGAATGAGGAGTCGATTCCCCTTGATAGAATCGATTCCAACCTTTGGAATCGACTCTCGATTCCCAACGCCTCGGAATCGATTCCCAGCCCTACCTCTCCACACACTTTTCTGCCCAAATCGGCACCAGACCCCTAGTACAGGCTTCACAGACAGATGGAGCATTGTTGAAGCCATGTGAAGGTAGAATGAGTCAGCACCACCTGAGGGAGAGCTAGTGAAAACAGGAAGGAGAGCTGTGAACTACCCAGCATAACTGCAAGCACTCCACAGCCCCTGAGGTGCGCAGACGGGAGGGCCTCATTACTTGAGCAAGCTAGAGAGTGTAGCAGATAAATGTGTGAAACAACAAGAAGCAGATCTCAGAATGAATGGATGCGTTTGTGGAAATAATCCAGAACCTGATGAGAACTGACATGTCCATCCATATTCATACAGCATAGGCATTTAATGGACCACATTTATCATCCTGTGCTAGCATGCTGCAGGTCCTAATTAGAGATTTACTGTACATATGTTCACGTGTGAGGTGTGTTTTGGGGAATACACTCTAAAAAATCCTGGGTTATTTTTTTAACCCAAATGCTGGGTTGAGCCTTTTGGGTCATTTTTTGGGGTTATTTTTTCAGTGTTTGGGTAGTTTTTGTGTTACCCAGCTCCTGGGTCAAATGTAACAACCCAATGTTTGGGTAGTTTTTGTGTTACTCAGATCCTGGGTCAGACGTAATCCAGTGGTTGAGTTATTTATCACAGGGATTTTGCCTTCTCTTCTGGAGAGAACAGTTCTAAGCGCCATCGAATTGATGCATTTCTTCTGTAAAATACAGGTTTGTGTACATTTTATTTGATATATAAAATCGTTACTGTGCTGTATATCGTTCAATTTCATGCAGAGCAACATACAGGCGCGCGGTGTAATCACCTAACGTCATTCTTATCGCGTGATGGAAAAGCCTGATACTCTGCATAAAATAAATGATTTTATTCATAAAGATACAGAATACAAATACTTTGGATGTTAAAATATTTCCTCAGAGCTGTTTACTGTTTGTTTTGGACAGGTTATGAAGGCAGTGGCAGCATAGTTCGGCTATGAGTGAAACGCAGGGCGGCGGTCTCAGCCGTGAGCAGTTCCCCACCGAACACGACTCCAGCTCGGGCATGAGAGCCAGCGCCGTTATGGTGGAAACAGAATAACAGACTGGTCGTTTACACGTGAATTACTTCTGTTTAATGTTTAATATTTACTTTTAATGTTTGTTAAACAAGTTTAAATAAGCAATATGTATACATACTGTAAGGTCCACGCACTTGGCCCAAGGAAGGTATCTAGTGACGGATGAAGGTTTCTTGCGTGTTCAGTCTTTTCAGCATGCAGAGTTATTCAATTTAGGTTTAACTCAAATCTGACTCTGTTTTATTATTACCTCGAATTTAGGTTGAAAGGCAAATTGGTTGTTTGTCGGTCTCTAATTAGTCTGACATTTGATTATTCTAGTTAACTCTTTAATTTGTATTTTCTCGTTCATTAGGAATCTATGTTATTTAGGATCACAAAACTCACCAGTCTGAACCTTGTAAGGGAAACAGGAAACTAATTTAGCTCAAAGGGAATCATTTAAGATTTTAAAGGGAACTCCACCATTAATATGCAAGGGAATTAGGACAGAATCACTGTTTTACGGTTGATCACTGAGTACTTCTGTTTAATGTTTAATATTTACTTTTAATGTTTGTTAAACAAGTTTAAATAAGCAATATGTATACATACTGTAAGGTCCACGCACTTGGCCCAAGGAAGGTATCTAGTGACGGATGAAGGTTTCTTGCGTGTTCAGTCTTTTCAGCATGCAGAGTTATTCAATTTAGGTTTAACTCAAATCTGACTCCGTTTTATTATTACCTCGAATTTAGGTTGAAAGGCAAATTGGTTGTTTGTCGGTCTCTAATTAGTCTGACATTTGATTATTCTAGTTAACTCTTTAATTTGTATTTTCTCGTTCATTAGGAATCTATGTTATTTAGGATGCCTCACAGCGGCCGCTATGCGTGGGCTCCACGATCACAAAACTCACCAGTCTGAACCTTATTCAGAGGTTTGTGGCTAATACTATTTAATATACCTTAAATAGTAGGTCTATTTAGCCCCCTACAGTTACCCATGTAATACTCAAGCATTAATCAGCGGTTTTTCTAGAACCCCTTGTCTAGACCCCGATAGCTAATATAACTCAGCGTTAACTTAATTAACTCTGAAATCATATACATGGTTAACGTAACTGAGTACAACTTAAACTAAGGTCCAGCGGTTAGTCAGAAACCCATAATCTCACCTGATGTGCCCATGCTATGCACGTAACCCTGGACGCAGTTTTGCAGAAAACATAAGCCTTCACTT